GCCTTCGCCCTGGCCCCTGCCCGGGTGCGTCCAAAACAAGCACAAAACCATCAGATGCCTCTTCCCTTGGAAACGGTGCAAGGAGGAAGCGGGGTATGAAGGGCAAGGGCCGGGGAGGAGTGGTGGAGACGAGGTTTTCCCCCCAGCGCCGCGATCCTCCGTGCCAGAAGCATCCCTCCTTGGCATGCCCAGTTTCAAGCCAGCCGTAACTGCAATCTCTAGTAGCGCTTGGCATGGCATCAGCCCAGGATGGACGGGCAGAAGAAAGCCCCACGTAGCTCGTGGCTCCCCCAACGTCCCACGACCCCCTCCTGCTCGCCCACGCTGCCCCGCGGGCTGCCTCCGTCCTGCCCTGCCACCCTGCCCTGCCGTGCGGAGACCGTCTGTCCCGCTGAGGCGCAAACTGACCTAACAACATACGCAAGCAGAGAGCAGGGTGAGGCAACTAAGCCCATTTTCCTCTCTGACCGAAGCTTGCCTCCAGGCTTTAAAAGCCAAGCAACGCTCCAGTTTTCCTCACAAAGCCCCTTTGAGAAGAGCCTGGATGAATTCCAGCTTGGCTGTACGTCCCAAAGCCGCTTGGTGCCCTTCCCCACGGCTCTCCCTCCTTGCATGAACATCGCTCCAACTCATGAAACAGCAGATTTTCTTCCCATCCGAGCACAGGGGCTGGGACATCCCCAGTCCTCACCTCCCCGGGAACTAAGTGGTCCTCCCAGGTAGAAGTACCACACTCGGAGATCACGGGCTCCCAGCATTTGTAGGAGACGCAGCGGTCAGCTCCACAAATAAACTACTGAAGTGACATTTAGAAAAGCTCTTCATCCAGAAGCATCTCAAAAGTGCTTTGTAAACTTCACTAATGGGCTGTGCAAACTGTAGCTCCCATTCTCAGTAGGGTCTGTGCAGAGGTATCCGCTCAGATGGCTGCTAGGGAAGATGAAGGCTGCAGGCTGGCATCCCAGAAAGGCTCAGCTAGAGCAGGGAAACTACTGGGTACTTGGTGAACGTGGCTTGGGGAGCAAACCTTGAAAGAGCTCAATCAAAAGACGCCAAACTGGGTCCATCCTGGGACAAACTCAGCAAGCCTCCCATGACAATCATGTAGGCTTGTTTCCTTTGTTGACAAAAGAAAAAAACCCCAGGTATAAAGATCTGTGTGTCTACCGCTGCGTTTCAGCCCCCTTCTACCGAGAAATACCGTAACTCTTCAGCTGAAACACGGCCGAAGTGTAGAGGGGGGGGGCAATTACTGTGTCAGGCAAAACGTGTTTCCAAAGAGCGGTCCAGAACACCCCCCTGAGATGGCCTAAGTTAAAAGGTATGAATGAACAGCCCCCTCAGTCACCCTCATGGTGGAAAAGCAGCTGCTTTTTTTTTTTTTTCTTGAACATATCTTGTGTTCACATGGAAAGGGGCGTTTGGGAGAGGCTTCCCTTACTGCGTTCGGCACTACGGATGTCAGCAAGCGGCACAGAACCGGGAGCACTGGGTCGCCGGATGCTTGCTCAGTGTTGTTCAAGCTCATCCTGTATCATCAGCCCCATCGGTCCCCATTCATCCACTCTGCTGACACCCACTGCACGCAACCGCCAAGTCAGATTTGTTGGGGAATTGGGCATTCGCCATGAATGTGCCCCAGTGCTTGACAGCAGTGGCATGAGCTGGGAAGCACCTGATGGACTCAGAAATGAGAAGAGACCAGTCTGGTCTTTCTTGATGAGTCTTACCGGTGTCGGAGGAGGGGACGGCCTTGGTGAGGATGCTGTCGGTGATGGTGCCCAGCATGCTGAAGGCAAACACCAGCGGCACCGCAACTATGCAGTAGTGCCACACGGTCCTCATCAGGGCCTAAGGGACAGGACAAAAGAGACCACGGATCATTAGAGAGAGCAAGCGGTGACTTTGTGGCAAGAAACAACCTAGAAAAACATCACGAGCCAAACCCATGATTTAGGTAAATTGTGGGAGCCACAACTGCTAGATGATGGCCCGGCTTTGGCCATTGCAGGGTCTTTCATAGCCCACCATTTGTCTACAGGCAATTATTCCAAGCATGCAGCACAAGTAGCAAGTGATACCCGACAATCTGGCAGCACGTTACTCCGGCACTGCTGCGGGTATTTTTAGTGTCTGGGAATTAGTGACGTCCCCGCACCCTTCCCCCATCTTCTGTCTCTTGTCCAACTCCTGAGGAAACGTGAAAGAGCAGATGCATGTGGTGTACTTCAGGAAGCCTCCATTACTTATACAAAACAGCCTAGAGAAGGCATTTCAGTTCATTATCATAAATAATTAAAACTAAACTGAGCTTGTCAAAATAAATGAGCGCGGTGCATTATGTAACGCTGTACCTTTGGGATTTCTAATCCTGTTCTGCTGCTTCCTTGCTAATAAATTCACCAAATTCAGTAATCTGGAATAGGTCTTCTGGCCATAAGTGCACATTAGCGAGCATAATTAGGGAGAGTAATGATTTTGTTATTGCACATATTCTTAGCGGAGACATCCCTCCAGCTGTTAAATACTGAAACAAAAGCGGTGAAGCTCCCTAAGCCGTGGGGCTAGAGCGGCTCTCGGCTCATTCACAAGCCCTGCTGGTCAAATGAATGGGTTTCTCTGGGGCATGGAAAGGAAATTCCCCCTTTCTTGCAAGTCTCCTGCCCTCACCCGTGTCTCAAGGTGTGTTGTTGCGGCTGGAAAACATTTCTGTTGCTGGTTTAGCCAGAAGTTTCATTCTCTGGAGTCCTCTCTCCTAAGATCTGGTCCCTGCCTCTCAGCTACAGAAGATAGAGAAGCCCAGAGACATTGCTCACTAATGACTTGGAAATACTGAGGTTTATGCCTAGTTCCCCTCTAGACTCACACACAGCCAGGTTCCTCTCCTTGGAGGGGCTCTTTGCCTACGTTTTGGTTAAGATCTCGGCACTTCTGATTAAGGAACCAGAGAACAAAGACAGAGGAACAGGTATTTGGTACATAAACATTCAGACGGAGGGAGAATAATTCCTTGCTAGGGCAAATGTCATTGCAGGACAACGTTGCAGAGCTCATAGGAAAAAACAGCTTTAACCCTCCCTTGCCTTGCATGAATTCCCTCATGGGCTGAAGCAACTGGGCAGAAAAGAGCTGAGCTGTGTCTGTGCCTCCTGTAAAACCAGGGGAAATGGCTCCTCGCTCCCCTGGGACTCGGGAAGGATGGAGCCAGGCAGAGCCTGGTCTCTGCTGCTCCTCAGCGGGTCGGTAGCAGCCTTTTTGACCTGAGCAGATCTGAAGGCGTTTTTCAGGTGAGAGAAGCAGAACCAAGAGTTTCGGCAGACGACAGGCTCAAAAAGCAAATGCCTGGGAAACGCAGGCAGCAAGGCAGGACGAGGCACAGCCGAGCCTTCAGACAAAGAGAAAAACTTCCCCGTCGCCACCGCCAAGCCCTCCTACATACGCCCCTGCCCACGCGCTCCCGGCTTGCGTCTGCAGATCTCACACCAGCTCTCCACTCCTCTACTTCTCCAGGTGCTATTGCCGAGCTCGCAGCCCACCCCTTCCCTTCTCCAGCTGCTGATTGCTGGGAACATCCTGCAGCCTCTTCCCAGCTGCACCGCCGGCTGTCTGTCTGTCTGTCTGCTGCCGCTGGTGCCCGCCTTCCAAAAACACTTCAGCCCACCTCCTGGCGATATGAAGATGGGTTTCGGAGTGTCTTTTATTAACAACTAGCTTTTCTCCTCGCTTCCACCCTTTGGGGAGGGGATCTACTTCATCTGGAGGCCAGATGCAGCAAGGGCACAGCGGGCGGGATGCTCCTCCGCCGGCGGCTGCGCAGGATTAAAAGCTTCACGCATTAATCTCTGCGTTTGGGGCCCGCCGCTGCGACGGCACTCAGCCCCGCCACGACAGAAAGCCACCCCAGAAACGGATGTTTTCTCGGCAGCCGCTTTTCAGTAAGGCGTCCCCGGTGCAGAGGATCGCAGCTGCGTTTGCCTATGAATAGTTCTCGTGGGAAGTCATTGCTGACCCTTGTCCCCAGGCCCGTGCTGTCAGGATGTCCACAGCCCTCCGGGGTTGGCGTAACTGCCAACTCTAAAATGAACTTCCAGCCGCGATTTCCCTTCCCCACACAGCCACCGTCAGCCTCCTCATGCTGGGGCGTTAGCCGCTGCAAGCTGTGCCACCCTGTGTGCCCCTCCACTGCCACCGAGGCTTTGTCTCCTACCTCCAGCTGCCTCCAGCCTCCCCTCTCAGTGAGACCTTGGTGCACAAAAGCCGTTCGCTCCATGGCTGCCCCTCTGCCTGATTGCTGTGGGACTGGGCTTTGGCACAGGGACCCGGTCCCAGCAGCACCCTGTCCTGCGCCCGGCTAGAGGTGCTCAGATCTCCAGATGGACCAGGTCCACCTTGGTCCCACCTAACTGCTCCCCACCATGACCATAAAACAACGGCACAACCTTCAAAGCCCTTCACTGGCCATGCTCAGGGGCAGCAAGCCCTGTGCAGATGTCCCATGCTAAGGTGGCACATTGATGCCAGCCAAAAACATGCAACAGCCGGGAGGCACCCTTCCCAAGCATTCCACCACCCGGCAGCATCTCCACGAGCCCTGAAATCCCAGAGAGAGGGGACCACGTTCCATCTGCAGACCCAACCCTTCCTCTGCATCCATCCTCTCTTCCCAGCCTCATCTTGGACACGCAATTAGCCTCATCTCATCCAAGTAGCTGGGAACCACGAGCCTCAATACCCTCCGGAATTTGGCTCTGACCTCTCCGTGGCTGTGGTGTGGTTGTAGGAACAGCAATCTCCTACCCGCACCAGCAGGAGCACCGGCACCTTGGCAGCAAGGCTTGAGGCCAAATCCTTCAGGGAACATCGAAAGGCTGACGCAGCTCGACCCTTTCTCCATCCCCATTGCCTGGGCAGAGGTATCGGTTCCCTGAGTGTGGCTTATCTGAGCAAACATGATTACCAGCAGAGCTGCCTATGCCAACTTGGTTTTCCAGTTACTGTTTGAGACGGGCATCGACTGTCACCCATGCAGATACAACTGTCAATGGGTAACATCGCTCATCCCAAAACAGAGGAACAAAATTATTGCCTTGCTACGTCCTTTCCCAAATACTCTCAGCTTGGGGAAATTAGATAAAAATAAAGCTGCCGAAGAAGAGCACGCAACCTCTGCTGTCTTGTAGCAGTGTACAACCGCAATGATTTCCCCCCACCCACCCATAATCTTCATTTACTTTCTGGGTAGTTCAGGAAATGCAGTTGCTGACAAGACCGAGGGCAGGAGTTCTATGCAAATCCAGTGACTCAGGAGGGACTTAAGGACTTTCTATAGAGGATTAATTTTTTTTTTTTAAATCCCCGTAACTATTCCTCACGCGGCCCTTTATCGTTATTTGGTGTAGTGCTTATGCTGAGCACAGCTTTGTTTGCACAGGGGCACAGGAGAGATGGTTTCTCCCCCGAAGAGCACCCAGAAAAGCTGGTGGTGGCATTTCAAGGGGCAGAGCTTGCGGCCAGGTCTCACAGACCTCATGCTGCTGCATTATTAAAAGGCACCATGGACGATTTCACACCGAGCCTTACCATGCCTAGGCCCACAGCAGCGAAGACGAAGACACTGAGCCTGAGCAGGGTCCTCTCCGTGCAGTGGTTGGTGAGTTTTCCAACAACCAGACCCTGGACAACCTGGGAAAGAAGCACATGAGCAGCACTAAGCCCGATGTATAACAATTTAAGCAAGCTCAAAAGAGAACTGCTACAGTGCTTCAAACAAATGAAAGGCAGCACATGGGTTATTCCCTTGCTTTTTTTTTGGAGAAGGGACCTCACTGTCACGGTAAATGGCTGGAAGACACAATCCATTATTTCAAGCATTTTGCATCCGAGGGATAGATCCATCCCATCAGCTGAAAGCCTTGACTCAGGGTGCACGCCTGAGTTTACCACCACTGCCTACTCACCAGTGGTGATCGAAACTTTCTAAAGATGCTTGCAGACACAAATTAATTTTTCTAACTTGTGATGTTTTTGTGAAATACAATTAATACTAAGGTCTTCATTCTTGGCAAGTCCTTCCAAAGAAAAAACGTACGTTTGTATGCAGAGGAGGAAAATGCCTCTTTTCCTGTACCTTCTCTTGCCATTATTTTAAACTATAAATATACAAATTGTGTGGTTCACTGTTTTTAGACAGGAAACAAGTATGACAGAGATGCTAATACTCAGCCCCAGCAGTACACACAGATGTGAGGGTCGGGGAACTGGTTTTACAGATTTTAAACAAAAACTGGGGGAGAGGGGGAGGGAAGGAGGAGCAAAAAAATCTGAAACCCAGGAAGTATTTGGCTTTTCCAGCACTTGGCAGAGCAAAGATTCGTTCTTTTAGTTCTCTGTTCAGCACCTCCCATACTTCAAGTGACACTGGCCCAAGTGGACATGAGAGGACAGAGGCTGGAAAACATCACTTTGAAAACAAACCCTGACCGACTGCATTTCAGGGGAGGGACAGATAGGAATCTACCAAGTTTCCCCTTCCTTGAAAGGGTTGGTTTGATCCAAGCTAAAACCCCTCTGACTTGAAAGAAAAGCTCTAGCTCAAAATGCTTTGTTTGGTGCGATGGCTTCATTTCAATGGCAGTCCAGCCTGGAGAAAACCTCGGGGCCCTGCTTGGACCTGGAACGATGCTACGCCACGCTTAACCTTGCTATGTTAGTCCTAAGGGTGAAACCCAAACTCAACTGCAAGGAAATGCAGGCACAATGAATAAGAAAGTTATTAAAAAGAAAGGAAACGTTAATCTGTGATAAGCAGTCCAGAAAAAGCAATTTAATTATTAAAATAAAATAAAAAAGCAAAACCTAAATAGTAATATAGTGAATTCAAAATAAAGTTAACATAAAGAACAATAGCTACAAATAGAATATATTTCCAACAAGCTACAACTTAATGGAAAACATCAAAAATTGAGTCTTCCCATTGCTTCAGAGCACAAGCCGGTTTTGACACCAGGGCACATCGCACCAAGCAGACATTTTGGTTCCCGGTGAACGCTTTTCCTGCTTCCTTTTTGTCCCTGTCCCCACCCTCAGGCCGGGCTCGAGAGCTCAGCTCACACGTGCCCGGCTGCCACGTGACGGTGGCATGGGCTCCGCTTGTCTCTCCTGGGTCGTGTCACCTGCCGAGTGGCCTCGGGGACACGGGCGAACCTGCTGCGGTGCGATGCTCGGACGATGCGTGGGGTGACCTGAGTCATCCCGGCTGAAAGCCCTGCCGCGGACACGGGAGGAGGCTGATACCAGCCCCGGCGGCTCCTACTCAGGGGGTGGGTGGAGAAGCTGCTGAGTAACACTTCATTACGCTGAGTGCTCCTAAAATGAAGGATTGTCATTAACTTTTTGCAACTTCCCAGTCCCTCCCACCGGCTCGCCCCGGCCGGGGCTGTGCTGAGTCACGCGGGACGGGGGCTGAGCCCCGTTGCAGGGCATGGCTTGACTCAGCGGTGGCATCACCTGAACCCCAGTTCATCTCTGCTGAGCCACCGGTGGAAAGGAATCGTTTCTCAATTTGCCCTGACTTGAACGGCGTATTTAATCGGGATACACTGTGCAGGCGCAGCCTGGTCTCTGCCCTTCCTTGAGTCATTGGGGTAGACCATCAGCAACGTCCCAGAGCAGCCCGATCTGATGGCCGTGGGAGTGGCGTACCCAAAAATGTCTCCACCGCTACACATGAGCGCAGGGAACAGCAGGGCGAGCGGGGCAGGGTGATGGTCCTTGTGCCGAGGCTGGCATTCAGCACGGGCTTCCCCATCACTTGCAGTGGGGCAATACGAGCACGAGGTTAAAGCACCACTGCTGA